CAATTAATGATATGAAAACACCAGATACTGCATTTTCATTAAGTGAATATTTGAATATGTCTCCTATGCAATAGTAACATATATATATGTACATATATATATATTGTAGCTAAAAAAGCATTTAAAAAAGCATTCTTCATTTTTTTATCTTTTGCTATTTGCTTAATATTTCTTATTATGAATTTTTTTTTTTAAAATGTATAAATGTATAAAATAAAATGATAATTAAAACAAAAATCAATGATCAAATAAAAATAATCTATGTAAATGTACTTTTTTACTTATTATTGATTAGCATGACAAATGATAAATTGACCATCATCACAGGATTATTTTAAAAATTATCTAAGGTTTCTATAAATATTAAATATTGGAAAAATAAAATACAATTATCCATCTCATTATTTCCTCCAAAAAAAAAAAAGTTGATTATTATTTATGATGAGGAACCATTTTCATCATCATTTTCTTCTTTTTCTTCATGAGGATTATTGCATACCATTTGTTTATTCAATTAAAAGAAATGCAAAAATTTCATTTAATTAAATAATTAATTCATAAACATGGAATAAATAAACACTATAATAACAAATACCTCCACCACCCAAAAATTGTTCTAATGACATAGGACATGAATTATGATTTGCTGCAACATTCAACTAAACAAACAAACAACAGATGATTGATTGACTAATTAACTAATATGTATATATGCTATATCATTCATATCTACATGTACAAGATTTATTAACTTACCTTGTTATTTATTTTTATCTTAGTACAATTTAAGTTATTGATTCTGTTTTCTTGATTCAATGAAGTTTTCATCATTGATGTGAGTTCAACAAATTCAGGATTCAATGTTGATTCCCCAGAATCTGAATCATCCTTGTCATTACCATTTTCAGATGAACTATCATTACTACTACTATCATCAGATGAAGCTGAATCTGATGAATTATTTCTTGTACCATTGTCATCATTGTCATTGTCATCATCATCATTTTGTAGGTGTCTTATTTTTTGTATTGTATTAGGTTCTACTACTTCTAAATAATCCTCTCCCCATGGATTATCATCATCTTCATCCACTTCCATATCATTATAATTGTCATTATTATTATTAAAATCAACATCAGCATTGTAATCTTCAACCATTTCGCCAAATTTTATAGCAAATTCTTGCAGTTCACTAGATGTTTCAAAATTATCAAATTCACCTGTATTAACATGATAACTAGATTTCACAATTTCTAATGACCATGTCTAAATTCAAAAAATAAAATATTAAAAATTTTTTTTTCAATTATTAATATTAATGTTAATTAAATAAAAAAAATATTTATGTTTGTTTCCTCATCAAAAATCATTAAACATTTTTTAATGGCTTCTGGATGATAAGTATTATTATTACGATCCTCCGCCTAGAATTCAACGCAAGTACATAAATAAATAAATAAATACACACGCACTAACCCCATTTTGTTCATTATAATTAATTTCAAATGTTTCTTTACTCTCTGGAAACTTTATGGTTGCCTCATTTGTAAAATCTATTTCTTCTGTGTCAACTTCAACTAAATCGTATCATGATAAATTTTTATTTATATATACAACAAAATATAAATATAAATAAATAAATAAATAATTTACATATGGATTGATAATATAGAGGAGGTCGATTCTTTTTTTAAAAAATTGAAATTTGTTAATTATATCTTGATTTTCGGTTTCTGCTAAAGTTGTATGTTTCAATATTATTAAAATAAACTAGCAATTGCATCTGTGGGGCGACTAACGTCGCCCAATTATTATTATATACCATATATATATATATTAATATTAAGTTATTTATTTACCACGTCCACAACATCAGAAAAAAAAATAAAAAAAATAATTTTTTTGAATGCGTGTGTATGTATATAATAATAATGATTTTATAAAAAAAAAAAAGATAAAGACAAATGTTCATTTTATCATTATGAATTGTTGTTAATAGACAATGATTTTGCAGCAATTTCTTCCAGCCGAGCATACTCCCTAACCATCAATTGATCAACCATGAACGCCTCCCTTGAAAGAGAGTTAATTCTGAGATCTTCCCATTTGGCACAATGACTGAGAGCAACATAAGCCTGTCCAGAAGCAAATATCTGTTGGTCAAGGCAGACAGATATACTTGGAAAGGTTAACCCTTGTGTCTTGTGGACTGTTAGACCAAAAGCGTTCTGGATAGGGAATTGAGTTCTGCTTGCAGGGTTCCTGTTAAGCTCAAAATTAATCTTCTGGTTGGAGAGGACAGTATCAACAACGGCAGAATGAACAGAAAAGGCAACCGAATTTGTTCATTATCAACATCAACATCTGTTGTTTTTAATAAACATAAAAAAAAAACAAAAGGTTAAGATGGCAGACTTATTTATTTATTTCTTGTGACAAAACAATTAATCTTTATTTTTTTTATTTTTAATAAAAAAAACAATTGATCTTTATTTTCATTATCATTGAAAAATCAACCTTTATTTTTGTTATCATTAAATAAACAATCAATCTTTATTGTTTATTGTTATTTAAAAAAAACGAATCAACTAATTCTTTTTTTTTATTTTTCGCGATTAGCCAAATTTTTACTTTGATCAAAAACCATTCACGAATTTCAATTGTTGATGGTAACAAAGATAAATTTTTTTGGATTTAGGATTTTTTAAGATGATTGGTTCTGTGTAAATAGGAGATAAGAGGCTTTCTCAAATCTTAGATTGATTGGTTTTTTTTCTTCCCCACTACACATTATTTAGCATAGTAGAAATCACTGAAATTAAAAGAGATTTCATTTTATCTAAAAAAAGAGGACTGGACGTTCTTGATATTTGCAAAATGTAAAGTCATTGTTCTCATAACAATAGTGCTAATTGAAATTTCCAAGGAGAGTTTGACTGTTTTTTAAAAAAAAATTTCTTCCAATATTTTCTAAAAATAATTTATTTTTTGTTAATACATATTTAAACATTGACATGCTTTTTGTACAGTCACACGACATAAATCGGTTTTCGTAAATATGTGACTCGATCAAAATAATTTTCAGAATTGCAGAATGACCCGCACTATTTTTTTTATTATATTAATTAATAATTAATAACAATTTAGGGAAAAAAATTATCACCATATTATTTATTAATCATTAATAAGCAGTAAAGAACAAAATCAATGGTTTTTTAATTGCCAACAACAATCAATAAACATGATTAAAATTTATAAACGAATGTATCATTATTATTTACATTTTTCAAAAAAGAGATGATGATCATTTTGACGAATCGTGTCAACACAAAAAAAAATTTGTTCACCACAATGTTTTGTATATATTTCAATTTTGCTCTCATTTTCCCCCAAAAATTCAGTTTACCAAAAGTTCGGAAACAAACCTTTGCAATACGCAATTTGCAATCTGCAGTTTGCAAAATTCAAAAATTGCAATCTGTATAAAATAGCAAATTGAAAATTGCATATTGCATAGTTTATAAAACGGACTGTAGATTTCTTTTTTTGACAAACTGTAGGTTAGCGCGTTTGACAAAAATAAATAAGATTTCCAAGGCTAATAAATAGTTGTCAAGATTTTCGAAATATTTATATTGGACAAAAATGTTTTATTCCAAAATTAGAATTTTTTTTCACGCCTTTATTAATAATTGTTAATAAATTTTTTTTGTTTATTTTTTAAGATTTGATAATTTTGGTTAGTATTTAATTTTAAAATCAAATTGGTTATTGTTACCGATCACTTGCTAACTCGAAAGAGTATAAAATATATCTGATTTATTAAACAATTAGAAATGTGTACCTTTTTTCCAAAATTTTTGCATATCTTTTAATTTGTAATATAAAGGAATTTGGCGAAAACCTACTTTGTACAAAGATGGGTTTTAAAAAATTTTAAAATCAACAATTAATTATTGTTACCAATCACTTTCTAACTCAAAAGTGTATACAATAAATTTTTCTTTTACATTTATTCCTATATACATATGTAAATGATGATTAGAACAATAAACAACAACAATAATTATTATAGTGATGTTATTAAATATAAGTTAAAATAAAAGAGAAATTTATATAAACTATTGAATGATTGATAAAACCTTCGTTAGTATATTTTGCTCATAGATATTGTCCTTAAAGCTTACCTACACAAACTATTAATTAATTGATAAATGTTTGTTAGAATATTTTGTTCATAGATCTTGTCCTTAAAACTTACTTCGATTACTCCTACACAAACTATTGAATAATTAGTAAAACGTTCGTTAGAATACTTTGTTCATAGATCTTGACCTTAACACTTGTAAAAACTATTGAATAATTGATAAAATGTTCGTTAGAATATTTTGTTCATAGATCTTATCCTTAAAACTTACTTCGATTACTCCTACATAAACTATTGAATAATTAATAAAACGTTCGTTAGAATATTTTGTTCATAGATCTTGTCCTTAAAACTTACTTCAATTACTCCTACACAAACTATTGAATAATTAATAAAATGTTTGCTAAAATATTTTGTTCATAGATCTTATCCTTAAACTTACTTCGATTACTCCTACACAAACTATTGAATAATCAATAAAACGTTCGTTAGAATATTTTGCAAACTTCATAGATCTTGTCCTTAAAACTTACTTCGATTACTCCTACATAAACTATTGAATGATTGATAAAACGTTCATTAGAATATTTTGTTCATAGATCTTGTCCTTAAAACTTACTTCAATTACTCCTACATAAACTATTGAATAATTAATAAAACATTCGTTAGAATACTTTGCAATATTCATAGATCTTGTCCTTAACACTTTGTACAAACTATCGAATAATTGATAAAACGTTCGTTAGAATATTTTGTAAGCTTCATAGATCTTGTCCTTAATGCTTGTACAAACTATTGGATAATTGATAAAACGTTCGTTAGAATATTTTGTAAGCTTCATAGATCTTGTCCTTAAAACTTATACAAACTATTGAATATTTGATAAAACGTTCGTTAGAATATTTTGAAAGCTTATAAATCTTATCTTAGCGCTTACTTCGATCACTCCTATACAACTGGATCTTATCATCCTCAACAAACGATGATTCGTTGTCATCGTTGCTACTAATTATAATATTATTAATATTATTGATTGATGGATCTTTGTATATTACAAATGTAACCAATCAAATCAATTAGCGAATTTTTATCTTTTTTTAATTCTTTAAATGTTTCCTTTTAACTAAATAAAAATAAATAATAAAAATTAACAAAAGGAAGGGTCATGTCACGAGGGGTCAATACACCCAACATGAGCCACCCGCGTCAGTTCCACCTTCCTAGCACGCGGGACTTTACAGCCGGTCCAAAGTGAGGCATTGCACCTAAGGGAGCCGGACACAGGAGACCATATCCGGTACTTCATCATTGCATGACTTTTCCCTGGTCGATACTATTAAACCAATTCTATGACTTATATATCAACTTTTTTTCATGTTGTGCAAAATATGGGATACCAACCATTTCATTGGATTAAATTTATTCCATAATTTTTTATTGTGTAATCTAAAAAAAAATAAAATTCAACAGAAAAAGTAGACTGTTAAATACAAGATGCATGACGACGTACGAAGCTTCCAAAGCAAGTTTGTAAAATATACTGATGAACGTTTATCAATTATTGAACAGTTTGTATCGAAATAAGTGTTAAAAGTCAAGATCTATGAATCTGTATATAAAATATATTTAATGAGCACTTTATCAATTATTCAAATAATTATATAGGCGGGCTTGGTCGAAGTAAATGTTAAAGTCAAAATCTATTTGCAAATCAAGTTTCCAAAACGAACGTTTATTATTATAGGCGGGTTTGATCAAAGTAAGTCTTAAAGTCGAGATCTATGAAGCTGTTTGTAAAATGTATTTAATTAACGTTTTATTATTATCAATTATTCAATAATTATATAGGTGGGTTTGATCGAAATAAGTATTAAAGTAGTCGAGATCTATGAAGCTGATTGTAAAATATATTTATCAACGTTTTATTATTATCAATTATTCAAATAATTATATAGGCGGGTTTGATCGAAGCAAGTGTCAAAGTCAAGATCTATGAAGTTTGCAAAACGAATGTTTATCAATTATTCAACAATTATATAGGCGGATTTGATCGAAGTAAGTATTAAAGTAGTCGAGATCTACCAAACTATCTGTAAAATATATTTATCGACGTTTTATTATTATCAATTATTCAAATAATTATATAGGCGGGCTTGATTGAAGCAACTGTCAAAGTCAAGATCTATGAATTTTGAAAAACGAATGTTTATCAATTACTCAATAATTATATAGGTGGGTTTGATCGAAGTAAGTATTAAAGTAGTTGAGATCTACGAAGCTGTCTGTAAAATATATTTATCAACGTTTTATTATTATCAATTATTCAAATAGGCGGGTTTGATCGAAGTAAATGTTAGTCAAGATCTACGAAGTTTGCAAAACGAATGACCAATAAAAAGATGTGGGACTAAGTGACTTGCACTATATAAGGTTATGTCGAGAGATATGGTCAAGAGAAGAGTTATAATGAGAGTTGTTTTTCAACCAAGTCGAAAACCAACCCTTTAAATACATCTTCGAGTAGTACAAGTTAATTTCTTCCAACTTCTTAAATTTGAACCATTTGTCGAATATTTTTATTAACTCTCATATTAATATAAATAATTCATTTATTTTTACGTTATCAAATTCATGATTCTGATTGGTCAATCAATGATTACATGTACAGTCAAAGCTCGTTATAGTGGATCTCGTTATAGTGGACACATAATAAAATCTCGTTATAGTGGATCTTTTTTGTTTCCAATGCTAATTAATTCCGCTCAATATAGTGGAAAACATAATAAAATTTCGTTATAGTGGAAAAAAAGAGAAAAATTACATATGGAACCAAGGGTCCACTATAACGAGCTTTGACTGTATTAAAATTTTGTTAAAACATAGCTCTAAATCTTTAATTAATTTCGACTAAATAAAATAAATAAACATTTAAACCCAAAATTATTCACTAATTAAACTAATATGTTAGTAAACCTATTTCACATAAACATAATAAAGAAATGGACTTTCGACAAAATGAACTTTCGATGAAATGATGAAATGATTGTCGATGAAGTGATTGTCGACGAAATGAACTTTCGATGAAACTAAATGATTGTCGACGAAATGAATCAGACCCTAAAAGACATGTTTAAACAAAACAGGTGCTAAAATATAATTTGTCATTGGATCGATCAACCACCTGTAAATTTTATTAAGATATTCATAGAAAAATTAATTATTTGGTCTTCCATCATTGTACTTTCAAGCAAAATGTCTCTAAAAGTGGATAAGAAGAAGAAAAAGGAAAATGTATATTTAATTTATGATCAAACCAACCAATAGATTCTTTGATGAAGTTGATAAATTACGAGATTCTAAGGAACAGATGGATAGATAAAATGTAAAACAGATTCTAGATAAAACTCTCGTGTGGTAATTTCACAAATATTTTGTTTTTATGTGATGAATGATTTTATTAAAGATCAATGTTGAAATAACCAATTCAACAATGGAGGAACGATTTACAGCAGACAGGCATCAAAGTACAATATTTGTCATCAGCTTGAACGAAATCTAGCAGGATGAAAAGATTACGATTACCAATAGCACCCATAATCTTCCTTAGCATTATTATCCCACTAATGAATTCCTCCAAAATGTAATACGACGTCCTATTTTACGGCGAATGTCTACATGTAGGTACTTGGTGTATATATATATTTGTGACTATGAAAGTTGAAGTATCAAATTTAGCTTCTGATGATGATTTTTTTTAATTTAACAAATGATCAGAAAAATTAACTCGTCGAACTATTAAAATATTAAATGAATCTGGAAAACCTATATAATTTTGATAAGAAACCACGTGAACAATTCACAAAAAATACTGTTAAAACGAAGGCAGTAAGAGGTAATTCATCATTAATGCAATGATTTGATATTCCTTTATAATCAGGAGCAGAAAGAGCCTCCAGGTCGGATTTTCATAATATTGATTGAATGTGATATTGTGAAAACCATCACAAATGCTAATGTGATACTATTTATTAAAATTTCACACCAAGTATATCGAAAGATGAGAAAAAAATATAAACTTCTGGTACATAACAAATCGAAATATTTATTTCATGGCAGATTAAATGTGCAAAAGCATACCTCTGGATGGTTGTATGTCAGTAAAAAGCCATTATTGAATATGGAAGCAATCAAGTGGAATTTTTTAAATTTGACATTCCTTCTTCATTACCAACTGCCTCCCCACAAACACATTTGATATTATCCTCCCTAGAGTTGACACCCGTAATGTAAAATAACTTAATTAATAGTGTTTACGTTTATCCTCATCATAAATTTATTTCTAATAATTTATGATAATAAACCTATTTATTTTTTAATTGTAAAAAAATAAAAAAACGTAATTTTTATTTTAATATTGCTTTGTCAATAATCCACTTTTAATTGAGTAACGATAACTCATAAAGTTCAAGCAAGACAAAGCTTTGATTTAACTATAGTTATAATTATGATTATTAAAGTTTAGAAGCAGGTCGTTTGTTATTAATATCAATGTTATTTTTATTAAAATCAATCAATCCCTCAATCCCAAATAAGCCTTCAACAAATTTCCATCCGAATTTTCGAAGATTTTCTCTTTCAATTTTATCGTCTTCTGATTCATTATCACACAATCCATTTGCTAAAAAAAAGCTTTCAGGTGGAATTGTTTTCCCCGTTTTATCTTTAATAACCAATTTTGATACACCGATAGTGACTATTTCATCAGTTTTAGTTATAATAAACGTGTGTAATAAAAAAAACCATTTCTCGTTCCATGTGAGTAATCTAGTCAACACTTTATAATTAACGAATGGTCCTATTTCTTTTTTATAATATGTATAAATAGCTAATAGTATATTATACGAGAGCATTCATCATCATTATTATAAGTTATTATTACATATAATATCATTTTATTATATTATTGTTATATATTTACCGGAAACTACAAATTTCTGTTCTTTTTTTACAACGTATTCTTCAAATTGTTCAATTGCAAACAAATTACGCGCATAATCCATCATTTTACTATAAGATCTATTTGATTAATAATTTAATTGATTAATTTATTTGTTAAATAAAAATCTCAAGTGAAGAGTATACGTACTGCTTACCCGTTATTCATATGAATATTTGAATCTAACTAAAGTAAACAATATTATTAAAATAATTGATAAAAACTTATAAAAATAGCCATCATCAAAGAGCCAAAAGGTGAGAGGTCAAAAGGTCAACATTCATTTAATTTACTATGTGTGTGTGTGTGTGTGTGTGTGTGTGTGTGTAATGTATATATACTTACATCATCAGGCCACACTGTATGCGTTTGTTCAACAATTCTCCATAAATTTTTCTTTTCCCTTCCTTTATTATTAATATACACACGATAATAAAGCCTAAACCATGGTGGTATATATCTTAATAAATATGCGAAAGGAAGCGATTTTGCATTTAATAATAATACTATTATCACTAAGGATTTAAATATTATTTGAAAATGGTTCATTTTATTATTGATAAAAATTTTTTTCAAAAAAAAAAAAAATTTGTTACACCACGTTCAACCATACAAATGTTTGTGAAATTCACATGGAATTAATATTGGGATTTCAAATGTTAGTCATTATCATTATCATTACTGCTGCTGATGCTCGAATCTCTTGACGCGTCAAGAGTTCTATAAATACTAAAATTAGTAATAATAATTAATAACTAGATTAATTGATTAATTTCCACCGTCTAATCCAACAACTTACTTGCAGGTAAATATAAGCCTTGTTATAATAATCATAACAATCAAAGAAAAATTCCATATAAAGAAATAGAACCAATTTATAACCGATATAAGTATTGTGGTGTTGTGATGCCATAATCCATAAACAAAACAAAATATTGTATAAGAAACATTCGTGCTTAGAAATGTTGATACTATAATTGATAACTGTTATATATATATAAGTTGGTTGAAATTAAATTGATTAAAAGCTGATAAAATTTTCAATGAACAAATAAATAAAAACAACATAAAATTTACATTTTTTGTGACTTTTCTAATTTTGATTAATTTCAAATTCAAATCTTCATTTTGACTGTTTTCCAATTCTTGGATATAATTGTTTAATTTGTTTTTCAAATTTATCCAAAATATAATTATTACAATAATAAAATAACTCGTCCAAAATCCCCATAATATATAGTGTGCTCTAAAGTAAAATATAGATTTTTCTATATCATAATTATCTTGTGCATAATATCCTGTCAGATATGCAAATGGTGTTAAGGTGACAAATGGTCCAATGATTTGTGTGAATCCAATAATATCAACAACCACTCCTTTATCAAAGAGCGTTTTAGTCCTTGTGTGTGCAATTAATTTGGGTGTTGAATATACTAATAATGAGAAGAATATCGCGATGATAAGAAGTGATGAATTGTAATGGTTGTTAATTAATGATACCTCCTATTGCCTACTTACCTGTGCTAATAGGTATTAATACCGCTACACCAAAACCTAAAGATCGAGGAACATCCTGGCCAACTGCACAGAAATATAAATATTCGGATAACAGACAATAAATATAAATACAAATATAAAAATAAACACAATAACACTCTTCTTCCTATCTTATCGTCAATCAATCAATTAAAATTTGGTCGATTTAAATCTAATCATTTCTTACTTTCGGCCAGAATAGTACTTGGATAAGCTTCAGAAAGTAGCAGTGCTATGTGTACGGTGTTAACTGCGAAATATCAATTGATTGGATAATTAATTGATCGATAGCAAAATTTAACTATATATAACTAACTGGTTTATTGTATGTCCGACTATGAAACATTCCAAAATTTCCAGATGGAAATTTGGAATGTCCAGACACGATTTAGCAAGTCTCATTTCATACAATAAGTAATGAATGTTAATCAATATACTTACGTAAAAAAAATACTATTACAAGTATATGGAAAGCATCTTGTGATCTAGGTCTTAAAATCCCATCATTTGTTTTGTATGGGAAAAATAATGTTTGTTTTTTGATAAATTTACGTGAATATAAAAAATAACAACTCATGAGAAACCCAGTTACTGTGACTGATAAAAGTACATAATTTATCGCGACGATTAAATTCTCTTCTTTACATCCATATAAATTTATACGAAAATCACAAACACATTTACCAACATTATAACATACTAATGTAAAATTATTATCAGTCATTATTTTTTTTTAAACAAATAACTTTTAAAAAAAAGGATTTATTATATATATATATGTTTGTGTTTGTGTGTGTGTGTGTTTTTATTTATTATTTATTATATAAATTATATTCCAAGGATTATAATTTTCATAAATTTCGCTGTTAAACGATCGACGCACATGAATTGATGTTTCGAACACGAGGTTTAATAACAATAATAACCAAATAATAAATTGATTGGTGAAGTGAATTTGCTAATCAATAATTTTGTGTTCCATTTTTTGATTGATATTAAATATTTATTATTTAGTTAAACTCTATTGCAATAATATTAACCAAAATGTGACATTAATATTCAAAATTTAAACTGGAAAATGAAAAATGCCATCGACTTTGAGCAAATACAAATATAAAGTATTGTTTGAACATAAGTGATGTACAATAGTAATAGAGTTTTACAAACAAATTACTGTTTATATAGATAGAAGATAACAATCAATAATTCAATATTGAATGTTGAATGTTGAATGTTTAATGTTTAATGTTTAATGTTGAGTGTTGAATGACATCAATGGATGAGCTGTGCATTGCAGATCAGATGAAATCATATATTTATGGTTCACAAATTACCCCTAAAATCTTTTACTAGTGATGTTAGCCGGTAGAAAAACCTTAACCGGCTAAGAACTTGAATAAATTTGGGTATGGAACACTTTAGCGACAATCAAAGTAAAGTCGAACTTGACATAGAAATGGTCTTGCGAGGAACACCCCGACATCCACAGAAACCACAAGATCGTAATCATGAAATATGGATTTAAATGACCGTAACATTAGATCAACTATAAAGTTTCTTCAGGACATTGCCCATAATATTTCATTTTTAAAATTTTTTTTTGTTATTTTTTTAAAAAAATTTTTTTTTTTTGTGTGTATATATAAAAATAATAATAAATTTAACATGAATATGCAATTTTTATCAATTTCGTCAGACAAAAAAATATATATTACACATGTATCTATATTGTATTTTTATGAACTGGTTTTTGATGCAAAGTAAAGATAATAAGTGGGTGTTATTATTTAATTAACGGTTGATTTAACTTGTTGTAAAAACCAAACTTTTAACTAGTTATTCGGGTCTTCACACAGTCCTTGGCAAATTTTTAACACAATGCTTGTCGGTAAAGTGTCCGGGTCCGAATAAAAAAAATTTATCTAATAATTTAGTAAGCAAATAACTTGTATCACTAAAAATCGGGTTTTTTATTTATTTACTAAACGTTGTGCGTGAAATTTATCAGAATTTTGTATCCAAAAATATTTAGTATATATTAATAAATATAGATATAATAAAAATAAATCCATGTTCACGTACAAACATAAATAAAATCACTGCAGATGAATATGGTAAATTGATCAAATGGATTATTTATTCTTATTGAAGAATTCAATTAAAACATAATAAAAAATCAATTAATATAAAAATTAAAAAAATTAACCAACTTATTGATCAAAAAGTTTATAATTTTCTCTCAAAAACAGTATATTATTTTGGTTCAATCTATTTCTTTTTTTTGTGAAGATGTTACCAGTTGAGGAAAACAACCTCTCAAATGGAACTGAGGTTGCTGGTATAGCTAAATATTCCCTAGCTTGAACCGCTAGATTTGGTAGGACTACTTTTTTCTGATTCCACAAAAGGAGTGGATTTTCTTCTTTTGCAGTGTCAAATAAAATTCAACTTCAGATTTTATATTTTTGGAATGCTAGTATCATCTAATATTATAATAAAATTTAATTAATAAACTTATTGATTTTTTAATATTGAAAAAGAATCATCTTCAAAAAGAATGATAAAGCTGATTTTAAGGAATCAAAATTCCATCTTAAAGATGTAAACATTACAATTAGTGGTTCATACCTCATTCTATAACGAGATACTCCTAGATTTTGTATGACTTTTGAAAACATATGACTCAAGTATTTTAAAAGTTTAACTCCATAGATTGATAGATTAGCCCTCTAGCTTTAATGTAATGGAAAGATTTTGGGAAAAAAAAATTATTTATTGTGGGTTTCTTATATTCACAAAGAATCATTTCAAAGTTAATTCATTTTTCGCACGTGTTCAAATAAATTATGATTTTAATTATATATTGAAATGTAAAGTAATGCTTTACAACTCCTCCTAAATATCAAAATAATCTATTAAAAAAATGTAAAAGTCTCTAAACCATCAAGATTTTGTTGATAACAATTCTTTAAACTCTAGAATAAACAGTTTATGACTCTGAGATAATAATTGGTTCAGAAGATGAATCTGAATTATCACCTGACAACGAATTAATGCTTTTGATAATGATTTTAACTATCAAGTGTTTGACAAATTGCAAATTCGTCAGTTCTAACTCAAGAAAATCTATTATTATTAATAAATAATTTTTTAAAATAATTTTTTTCTAATTACATGAATAATGTGAATTTTGGAAATTCTCTTAAAAAAATAATCAAATTTTGCAGCGCAGCGCAGCAATAGGAGATTCCGCGCTATTACAATAATTGTTTAAAAATGTATTATATTAATATATATTTATACGAGATTCACATGTGGATAAAACGACATGCAATACAACAGAATGATTCTTCATCTCCTCGTAAAAAAGTTAGCTTTAATCCCAAATATAGATCAAACTTCCTATATATCCCGCTTTTTTAAAAAGAAGAGGATGTATCCAATTTCCTGTTGTTACTGATTTTGTCGTTTTGCAAAATTTCCAAAGTTTTTAATCGTATTTTATAATCGAAACTTTAGGATTTTAGAAAAAGAAGATGCATAAGTATAGTAACAGGCAAAGCTCCGCGCATCCTTTAAATATTCCATTTTAACCATTGAGTAATGGGAAGAAACTATTTTTTCGTTAAGGATTATCGTCGACGAATAAAATGAATACATTTGGTTTGAATATCAATACAATATCAGAAGGAATGTTTCAGAAAATATCTGGTGTTAATGATGGTGGCGGAATAGATGAATTCGTAATGATAGATGAATTGGTATTTGTAGATGATCATCATTTATGTTTAATTTTGATTTTTGGTTGTATATATACACACCCTGGACAAAAGTATCCGGACACCTGTTTTTACTAATTATACAGAAACGCGCATAATAACTACACATAAAATTTTATCAAAATGTAGCTTAGGTTTTGATGAATATGCATGTAAATTTTGA